ATCAGATATGTCATTTATGAATATATTCTCCCATACTGTAGGATGTCTTTTTGTTCTACTGATGGTATCCTTTGCTGTACAGAAGCTTTTTAGTTTGATATAGTCCACTTGTTCATTTTTGCTTTTGTTTCCCTTGCCCAGGGAAATATGTTCATTAAGAAGTTGCTCATGTTTATGTCCAAGAGATTTTTACCTATGTTTTTTTCTAAGAGTTTTATGGTTTCATGACTTACATTCAGGTCTTTGATCCATTTTGAGTTTACTTTTGTGTACGGGGTTAGACAAAAATCCAGTTTCATTCTCTTACATGTAGCTGTCCAGTTTTGTCAACACCAGGTGTTGAAGAGGCTGTCATTTCCCCTTTGTATGTCCATGGCTCCTGTATTGTATATTAATTGACCATATATGCTTGAGTTTATATCTGGACTCTATTCTGTTCCACTGGTCTATGGATCTGTTCTTGTGCCAGGTGATCTGTTAGTCTTTTAATTGGCATGTTTGAACCATTCACATTTAATGTGATTATTTATATGTTGGGGTTAAACTGTCATCTTGCTAGCTACTTTTAACGTGGTCCATCTTTTTTCCCCTTTTTTTTCCATGTTCTTTTGGGTTAATTGAGAATTTTTAATGACTCCATTTTATTTCAAGTGACTCATTATTTATACCTTAAAAAAGTTTAGTGGTTACTCTTGGGTTTACAATATACACCTTTAATCTATGCCTACCTTCAAATAACATTTTAATGCTTCCCATCTAGTAAAAGACTTTACAATTCTCAATTTCTTTGTGCTTCTGTTTTTCTACATTTTATTTTACATATAGTATAAAAAAGCATTTCTATTTTTGTTTTAGACAATTATATTTTAGAGCAATTAAAGATTTTTGAACTAAAAATTTTATTTATTTTCATTTGTTCCATTTCCTGAATTTTATTTCTTCGTTGGGTACGATGTAGACATGAGTTTCTGTCTGGTATATGGGTATAGAATAGTACTAGTCGGCTGGCAGTAAATTCTTTTACTATTTGTTTGAGAAAATTTTGTTCCTCCATCTTTTAAAGATATTTTCTCTTGGCATAGAATCTTGAGTTGACAGTTATATTTCTGTGATAATGGTATCACTCCATTATCTGGCTTGTGTGGTTTCTAAAGAAGCCTGCTCAATTCCTGTCTTTGTTCCTGAGTGTGTAATGTATTTTTTTCTTTGGCTCTCTAAAGGATTTTACCTTTGTCTTTTGTTTTCAGCGGCTTGAATATGATATGTGTAAGTGTGGGGTTTAGATTTGTGCCTGGTATTTTTGTGATTCTTGGATCTATAGTTTGGTGTCTGTCATTAATTTTGGAAAATTCTTGGTCATTATATCTTGAAATATTTCTCTGTCCTTTCCTTTCAGGATTCTAGCTATGCATGAATTATATCGCTTAGTGTATCCCAGAGTTCTTGGATGTTTTCTTTATTGCTGTTATTTTTTAGTATTATAAAAATTCTTTTGTTCTCTTTCTGTTTCAGTTTGGGTAATTTCTGTTGGCCTATCATCAGTTTTACTGATAATTTTTTTGACTCTGTCAAGTCTGCTGATGATCCTGTAAAAGGTATTCTTCATCTCTGTTACTGTATTTTTCACTTTTAGCATTTCAGTTCAGTTTTTTCTTAGTTTCCATAACTCTTGTTGTGTTTTCTAGTATTAATTTTTGTCTTTTTCCTTCCCAGATAGCAGCCATGTAGAGAAAGGTTTAGATTTTGTTAGTTTTTCCTTATGCCTCTTTTGCCTATTTTAGGCTTGGGGCCTTTTGGTCCAGAAATTACCAAGAGCTGTCTCAAAACAGAAGAACATACGAAGTGCACTCAAACTAGCTTGGCTGGAAAGTATGAAGTAAAAAAGAGTTATAAACTGGTTGCACAGTGGAATGAAGAGCTGCTGTGTATATTCACCAATCTGATTGACTTGCTCAGGGTAAGTGGTCATCTAAATATACTTTTCTTCCTTACCCATTTAACAAGACTATCTAAGTAACTATTATTTTATTCTTATTCAGTGAGATGGCCAGCTGTAGACCCTTCATCCTAAACAAAATTGTGGGTTACTTTGATAAATCTTGTGTTCTTGAGTGGGTCATAGGTTCTGGATTATGGTATCTTGGTGTCAGCTCCCCCCGCCTCTGACCCGCAGATTTGGAGGGAACGTGACGGGAACGCTGAAGATCGGAAAGGCCACCAGGGAACTCAAGGTGTCACAGCACAAGAGTAATGCTGAAAAGGCACTCCTCATATTTATTGAGCAAATGAATTTAAATATCAAAAGAATTCTGTGTAGGGGGTTCAACACAGGATCAGCACACAATCATTATCTGACCTTGAATCTAGCCTTAGGGTGTGATGCTCCTCAAGGATACTGAAACCATGTGAGGGCGGTCACAGAGTTGTAGGAACTGTTTTGGCTCTAATCATTCTGTTTTTAATCACGCATCAAGACTTGTAGGAAAAACAATCAAGTCATATTATTTGTACATTTGATTTCTATATTACTTGATTTATGTATTAATCCCATACTTGGTAATGTTAAGTTTTTAGAACCTCACAAGGGCCTGTCAATTCCAAAACAGGGAACTTTCTGAGTCTCCCATCCAATACATTTTATCTCTGTTTGGCCACAGTCTTAAACTTGCTTATTCATTATTCTTTCAGTCATTATTTTATAAGCCTAATATCTCAATTAGAGTTACTATGTATTTGTTGATGATTACAGTGACTTGCAAGATGTCCTTTCCTCCACAAGCTGGAGAGACCCTTACTTAACTAACACAAGAGTGTGGTTAGTCCTGTAATGGAGGTGCAAAATTCTATGGGACTTAGAAGGTATAGTGATTCATATGGGCTGGGGGAGATTGGCCAGTGCTCTATAGAAGGAATAGCGTATTAACTGGGTTTTAAAAAAGATTAGGATCTTTATAGGCAAAGAGGTGGGTGGTCAGTCTAAGCTACGCAAATATCTAACATAAAGACACTGAATTCTGAAGTATTTGGTAAACAGTTTATATTCTATGCCTTTGAGAGCCTATTTCTCTTTCTTCCTCTTTTATTATTACAAGACCTTGTTTTTTTATTGTTCCTTCTCTGTTTCTGGTTATTTTTACCTTGTTTTCCTGTAATTCTTAGTGGTAGATCTTATATTATTAATTCTGTAGTTTAGTCCCCAGTGATGCAGGATCACCTGGGTCCCCTTCAAGTGGACATGTTGGCAACATTAGTCCACCATCCAGCTTATGTTTCAGAGTGTGTATTTAGAACAATAAAGCAAATCTTGCTTTGCTTGAATACAGGCCCTGCCCACAGGGCAGCTATGACTCAATCCTGGAACAAAGTAGAATAGACCAAAACCTTCCAGAATTTATCCCCATCATGCCCATCCCACAATCCTGACATTTGTTTGCTTCAACACTCTCTTAATCAGCTTCCTACTTTTCTTTCCTACTAAGCAAGGGTATGCTGTTCAAACACCCAAATGCACTCTGTCCTAGCTCCTTTTTATTTCCCAATACATTTGTCTTTCCTCCATCACTCACACTTTCTTCTGTGTTTTTTCCAACAATTTGTAGTTATTTAAAAAGCCCTCTCTCATCAAAGGACCATCTTCCTTGTTTCGGGGGCTTACAGGTAGGGATGATGGTTTGAGACTAGTTTCTGTTTTGCAGTATACCTTTGAGTGAACAACCTGGAAGGAAGACAGTTGATAGTATATAGAAATGAGGAGAAAGGCCTTTTCTGGAGGTAAAACTGCAGGGGGAGCCAGGCAGACATGGAGAAGAATCCTTGATGGTTTATACTTTTTGGGAAATCCTGTACCCAGTGAATTAATTTGCTTTGACTTGGCTGTTTATAGTCCTGTTTCTTTTTTCCTAATCAAGACAAATGAGGCTCAACTAAGGAAAGTGAATATAAGATACTTATCCTGAAACTAAACTCCTCTTTTAACTCTCATGAATGACAAGTAGGACGATTAAAATGTGTGAGCACTAAGAATTACTTAACTAACTAACCCTGGTATTTTCTCTAGGGTAGGAGGCTGAAGCATCTTTCTCCAGAAATGTCTTTGGAAAGCAAAGGGCGACGTGTCCTTCCACCTAGAGACCCTGGTGAAGGAAGTGTCCAGTGCAGTCCTCCGTCTAGGACCCATCTGGGGCTTGAAAGGGAATCAAGTACTGACTTCAAGCAATTTGAGGCCAATGATCAATGCAGACCTTATCCTAGGATCCATATGGAGCCTCAAGAGAAATCAAATATTAACTTCAAGCAATTTGTCATAAAAAAACTACGGAAGAGTTGCCAGTGCAACCCATCCAAAGCCAAAAATACGATTTTTGGTTTCCTTCCTGTTTTACATTGGCTCCCAAAATATGACCTGAAAAAAAACATTTTAGGAGATTTGATGTCTGGCTTGATCGTGGGCATCTTATTGGTGCCCCAGTCCATTGCTTATTCCCTCTTGGCTGGCCAAGAACCTATTTATGGTCTGTACACATCTTTTTTTGCCAGCATCATTTATTTTCTATTGGGTACCTCCCATCACATCTCTGTGGGCATCTTTGGGATTCTGTGCCTTATGATTGGTGAGGTAGTTGAACGAGAACTGCACAAAGCTGGCTATGACACGGCTCACATTGCTTCTTCTTTAGGGATGACTTCACATGGGAGCACATTAGACCAGACACCATATAGGATATGTGACAGAAGTTGCTATGCAATTACAGTTGGCAGCACTATAACCTTTATCGCTGGAGTTTATCAGGTAAGAAACAGTGGAACAAAGGGATTGTTTCAGGCAAACCATGAAATCTCAGGTCTCTAACGCATCTTAGAGGTCATAATAATTAAAGCCATCATTGACTGAATGCTTAGGATATGTGAGGGATGGAGCCGGAATTCAAATCCCTGCTTGATTCCCCAGGTAAGATATGGCTGCTGCTTTTCTACCTAGGCCACTTCTTAACCAATAATTCTGTAGTTTAGTCCCCAGTGATGCAGGATCACCTGGGTCCCCTTCAAGTGGACATGTTGGCAACATTAGTCCACCATCCAGCTTATGTTTCAGAGTGTGTATTTAGAACAATAAAGCAAATCTTGCTTTGCTTGAATACAGGCCCTGCCCACAGGGCAGCTATGACTCAATCCTGGAACAAAGTAGAATAGACCAAAACCTTCCAGAATTTATCCCCATCATGCCCATCCCACAATCCTGACATTTGTTTGCTTCAACACTCTCTTAATCAGCTTCCTACTTTTCTTTCCTACTAAGCAAGGGTATGCTGTTCAAACACCCAAATGCACTCTGTCCTAGCTCCTTTTTATTTCCCAATACATTTGTCTTTCCTCCATCACTCACACTTTCTTCTGTGTTTTTTCCAACAATTTGTAGTTATTTAAAAAGCCCTCTCTCATCAAAGGACCATCTTCCTTGTTTCGGGGGCTTACAGGTAGGGATGATGGTTTGAGACTAGTTTCTGTTTTGCAGTATACCTTTGAGTGAACAACCTGGAAGGAAGACAGTTGATAGTATATAGAAATGAGGAGAAAGGCCTTTTCTGGAGGTAAAACTGCAGGGGGAGCCAGGCAGACATGGAGAAGAATCCTTGATGGTTTATACTTTTTGGGAAATCCTGTACCCAGTGAATTAATTTGCTTTGACTTGGCTGTTTATAGTCCTGTTTCTTTTTTCCTAATCAAGACAAATGAGGCTCAACTAAGGAAAGTGAATATAAGATACTTATCCTGAAACTAAACTCCTCTTTTAACTCTCATGAATGACAAGTAGGACGATTAAAATGTGTGAGCACTAAGAATTACTTAACTAACTAACCCTGGTATTTTCTCTAGGGTAGGAGGCTGAAGCATCTTTCTCCAGAAATGTCTTTGGAAAGCAAAGGGCGACGTGTCCTTCCACCTAGAGACCCTGGTGAAGGAAGTGTCCAGTGCAGTCCTCCGTCTAGGACCCATCTGGGGCTTGAAAGGGAATCAAGTACTGACTTCAAGCAATTTGAGGCCAATGATCAATGCAGACCTTATCCTAGGATCCATATGGAGCCTCAAGAGAAATCAAATATTAACTTCAAGCAATTTGTCATAAAAAAACTACGGAAGAGTTGCCAGTGCAACCCATCCAAAGCCAAAAATACGATTTTTGGTTTCCTTCCTGTTTTACATTGGCTCCCAAAATATGACCTGAAAAAAAACATTTTAGGAGATTTGATGTCTGGCTTGATCGTGGGCATCTTATTGGTGCCCCAGTCCATTGCTTATTCCCTCTTGGCTGGCCAAGAACCTATTTATGGTCTGTACACATCTTTTTTTGCCAGCATCATTTATTTTCTATTGGGTACCTCCCATCACATCTCTGTGGGCATCTTTGGGATTCTGTGCCTTATGATTGGTGAGGTAGTTGAACGAGAACTGCACAAAGCTGGCTATGACACGGCTCACATTGCTTCTTCTTTAGGGATGACTTCACATGGGAGCACATTAGACCAGACACCATATAGGATATGTGACAGAAGTTGCTATGCAATTACAGTTGGCAGCACTATAACCTTTATCGCTGGAGTTTATCAGGTAAGAAACAGTGGAACAAAGGGATTGTTTCAGGCAAACCATGAAATCTCAGGTCTCTAACGCATCTTAGAGGTCATAATAATTAAAGCCATCATTGACTGAATGCTTAGGATATGTGAGGGATGGAGCCGGAATTCAAATCCCTGCTTGATTCCCCAGGTAAGATATGGCTGCTGCTTTTCTACCTAGGCCACTTCTTAACCAATGAATTTCAGTCAGCCAGATTTTAGTTATTTGGTTGTAAAAATTTAGACCAAAAAGGGACTTTAGGCCACCCAGTACAAACTTCTTAATTCTGTATGTCGAGAAACATTGGGTTTGCTTGGTGTGGTTGGTTGTTGGCAGAGTCAGTGTCCATGAACGAGCCCTGGAAGAGAAGAGTACGGGAGGCTTCCACCCTATGGATGACCTCCACCCCGTCCTTCAGAATTGTTGCGCTGGTCATTTTCTTGGACTGTTGGGGAGGGAACAAGTTAAGGACCACTATTTCATATCAGCCATGACAAAGGATTAGAAATTAGTCTTCTTGGGTTTCCCATAGAATCCACCAGTCTGCCATTATCCTCATGCCCCTGCCTTTTGGCATCCAGAGTCAGTGCCAGCATTAAACCTCTTCTGTTCCAAGCGTTTGGAACCAGTAAGGGAAGGGGAAGAGTAACTCACTTTATTTGGCCCTTGCATGAGGGTCGGGGGGAGGATGGGATGGTGTGCAGAAGTTGTGCTCCTCAGAGTCCAGTTTGCTTTTTTGTTGGTATGCTTTGCTAAGAATAAAGGAGGGTTTGATAGAATTCTGAGGAACTATTGGGAAGAGGGAAAAAGAAAAAAGTTATATCTGTGAGGATGTAGAATTGGTATGGGAAGCAGTATGACATAGTCACAGGAGACACTGGATGAGAATAGTTTCTCCCTATCAAGTCAAAGAGATCTATAATAATTTTAAAAGTATGATTCTGTTTTTATGTGAATCTAATTTTTTGTTTTATCAGTTAAAAATTCATTTTTACAGTAATTATTTGTAATTTAAAGAAAATATGTTTTTTAATTAGAAGAACTTTTCCAGTCTGAGTTTCTATGATTTCTTGTGGGTCTTTGAGGATTTTTTTCTTTTTCAAAAAGGTTGGAATCTTATTCCAAGTTTAAGAAACATAGTATAAGAAGGTAGAAATAAATTCTCGTCTCTTTTGAGCTAATGAGTAACAGTGTGACCTTGGGCAAGTTGCTTAGTCCTCTGTCAGTAAAATGAGCCCCCTTGCTGTAAAATAAGTGGATTGACATATGACTGCATTTTTTCAAGCTCTAACCTGTGATGCTCTACTGGTATGTCACCATGCAAAGAAATGCCAAGGTAATACAGGATTCAGAAGCTCCTTTCCATTTATATTTAACACTTGTATATCTCTTCTTCCAGGTAGCGATGGGCTTCTTTCAAGTGGGCTTTGTTTCTATCTACCTCTCAGATGCCTTGCTGAGCGGATTTGTCACTGGTGCCTCCTTCACTATTCTTACATCTCAGGCCAAGTACCTCCTTGGGCTCAACCTTCCTCGGAGCAACGGCGTGGGCTCACTGATCACTACTTGGATAAACATCTTCAGAAACATCCATAAGACCAATCTCTGTGATCTCTGCACCAGCTTTTTGTGCCTTCTGGTTCTTTTGCCAACCAAGGAACTCAATGAGCACTTCAAGTCCAAGCTTAAGGCACCAATTCCTACTGAACTCATTGTCATTGTGGCAGCCACATTAGCCTCTCATTTTGGAAAACTCAGTGAGAAATACAATATCAGTATTGCTGGGCATATTCCCACTGGATTTATGCCACCCAAAGCACCGGACTGGAACTTGATTCCTAGTGTGGCTATAGATGCCATAGCTATCTCTATCATTGGCTTTGCAATCACTGTATCACTTTCTGAGATGTTTGCCAAGAAACATGGCTATACAGTCAAAGCAAATCAGGAAATGTATGCCATTGGCTTATGCAATATCATCCCTTCCTTCTTCCACTGTTTCACTACTAGTGCAGCTCTTGCAAAGACACTGGTTAAAGAATCAACAGGCTGCCAAACTCAGCTTTCCAGTGTGGTGACAGCGCTGGTGCTTCTGTTGGTCCTCCTGGTAATAGCTCCTTTATTCTATTCCCTTCAGAAAAGTGTCCTTGGTGTGATCACTATTGTCAATCTCCGGGGAGCCCTATGTAAATTTAGGGATCTTCCCAAGATGTGGAGGGTTAGCAGGGTGGATACAGTTATCTGGTTTATTACTATGCTGTCCTCTGCATTGATAAGTACTGAAATAGGCCTGCTCATTGGGGTTTGTTTTTCTATGTTTTGTGTCATCCTCCGCACTCAAAAGCCAAAGATTTCATTGCTTGGCTCGGTGGAAGAGTCTGAACTCTTTGAATCCATGTCTGCTTACAAGAACCTTCAGGATAAGCCAGACATCAAAATTTTCCGCTTTGTAGCCCCTCTTTACTACATAAACAAGGAATATTTTAAATCTGCTTTATATAAAAAGACTGTCAACCCAATCTTAGTAAAAGCAGCTTGGAAAAAGGCAGCAAAGAAGATCAAAAAGGAAACAGTGACTTTCAGTGGGGTCCAGGATGAAGTTTCAGTGCAACTTTCTCATGACCCCTTGGAGCTCCATACCATAGTGATTGACTGCAGTGCAATACAGTTTTTAGATACAGCAGGGATCCATACACTGAAAGAAGTTCGCAGGGATTATGAAGCCATTGGCATCCGGGTTCTGCTGGCTCAATGTAATCCCTCTGTGAGGGATTCTCTGGCCTGGGGAGAGTACTGCAAAAAGGAAGATGACAACCTTCTCTTTTATAGTGTATATGAAGCAGTGGCTTTTGCAGAAGAATTGCAAAATCATAAAGGAATATGTACTCCCAACAGTCTGAGTCTTTCCACTGAATAGATAGAAGGAAGAAAGATAGCTAACCAGTAGGTTCCACAATGGAAATGTACGCTTCAAATGCTAACCTACTGGCTAGGCAGTATTCTTCTTTGGAAGCTGCTGGCTTTTATAGATAGAAAGGTGCTGCAGAGCTCATAGGTAAAATCAAAAAGAAAATACTGTGGTTTTAAGCTTTCTTGGAAATATGAGGTATTCTTGAAATTAAACATCTATTGAATTGAACTATAAAGTATCCCCAGGACTTAACTACCATGTTGTTTTAGAAGATAAGCATTTAGACTCTTCTCCAGGAAGTAAAGGGGTAAAGCTGGCATTTATATAAGAAGTGCTGGAGCCTGCTTGACATGGCTCTTTGGAGAGGAGTAGAAAGGTGGCAGGGAAAGGATGTTGTGCTTGCTTTTGTACCTGCAGGCCCAGAGGCTTCTGGAGCACACAGTAATGACTAAACAAGTTTATTCTTTTTTTTTAAATTTTTTTCTTATCATTAATCTACAATTACATGAAGAACATTATGTTTACTAGGCTCTCCCCTACCCCAAGTCCCCCCCACAAACCCCATTACAGTCATTGTCCATCAGCATAGTAAGATGTTGTAGAATCACTACTTGTCTTCTCTGTGTTGCACAGCCCTCCCCTTTCCCCCACCCCCCACATTATACATGCTAATCATAATACCCCCTTTCTTCTTCCCCGCCCTT